TGGCTGCTAACCAAAAGGTCAGCAGTTTGAATCCACCAGCCGCTCCTTGGAAACCCTATGGGGCAGTTCTACTCTGTCCTATAGGGTCGCTATGAATCGGAACGGATTCGACGGCAACGGGTTTGCTTTTCTGGTTTGGTTACACGCATATAAAGTTTAAGAATACGGTAATGGTTACAAACTTATGTACCCACAAATGCCAGGAAGGTAAGATATATAAACTTAGCAGGAAAAGCAGGAACCACGGCAAACAAGAAAACCTACGTCTTGTCGTAAGGGGTCAGTCTCTGCTCAGCTCCAGGCAATTACTGCTAAATTGCCGGCCGGTTTGCCAGATCTTCCCCCTCTCCCACTGCCAGAAACTCAAGTTTGCACATGATAACCTTGATGTTTAAATGAGAGCAATAATTAAAGAGTTTTAAAACACCTCACAGGGCAAAACAACCCAGATCGTGGCTGGAATTTGCTCACAGGCTGATACTCGTCAAGGGAACAAGATGGTCCACTCAGAGGTGGCCCCTGGGAATTCCCTGCTCTCAAGGGGCCAACCTTTTAAATCACTTTCTGAGAGGAATCTGCTTCTCTGTAATGGTTTGAATGCCTGTGCAGGTAACAGACTCTAAACGTTACTGTTTCACCCTCTTTAGCGATGGGAAGTTGACATTCTTTTATCTGCTTGATATTGCCTATGAGTTCCAAAGAAAAGATGCTTAATGAAGATGTATTTTTGGTGCTTACATCTGTGGCAACAATATTGAAAGTCAAGATGCACAAAACAGGATGTAACTTCTGAAAGTGTTACTAAATCTCACACTAATGGGTTTTTGTTTTTGTTTTTGGCCCGAATTCATCCTAACTGACAGGTAATCCATACACGTGTACCTGACGTTCAGTTGGATCAATAAGGCTGGTAAGAGACGTAATCGGGCTCAGTAGACTCCTGATTCAAAGCGAAAGGGTCAGAGGAGCCCTTGGCTGACGATTCACACAGGAAACCTAGGGGCTGAGGGAAGAGGCACCTCATGTGAGCTTCTGGTCTCTGCTTCTCCGTGGGCATGCAGGGGTGAAGAATTTCCAGCACAGGCTTGCATCCAGCCTGTTTAGCTCAACTATCAGCTCCTGGCTCTGAATGCAAAACCGTTTTTCATTATTAAAGCAAGCGGAGCCCACTGTCTAGAGCTGCTTTGTCTAACGGGCTAGCGGTGGTTATCTCTCATACACAGAGACAGTATCATTAACTGAGCCATCGCTCAAAGGGCAGGGATACTGGACCGATGACGTTGCCAGCGAACACAGAAAAAGAATGCCCCTATCAATAAAATAATTTTTCTACCTGAGTCAATTTCCTAGGTAACGGAAACATATCCGGAAGCAACCCTTTTATCTCCTGCTGTAACCCGTTCTGAAGAAAACCACTCCACAAAACCTACTCACTTCCTGCTTCGTGTGTGTGTACATATGACAAACCCTAGGCTTTATTTGATTAGACTTAAAAAAATATTGTTTGTTCTTTTCCTGGATAAGCATTTCTTTAAGTCAAAACTTTTTCTTGAATGATAAAGCTAAGACTTTTTGAACATTCAAAAATGAAGAATGTAGGTAAAAAAAAAAATTAACAGAGGAGTATACAAAGAAAGGACAACTCCAACCCTACCCACTAGTTCTAAATTTTCAAGAGAAACCAATACTATCAATTTTGTATCTATGTTTCCTTGCCTTTATGACCACTCACCTGCACATCTGTATACTTTTCCCTGATAAACGTGGATCGCTCTGTACACATTGCCAGTAACTTGCTTTTTTTCAGTCAGCAATATTATGGAGGACATCCTTCCACGCTGCTACATACAGATCTATGCCAATTTTAATGGTTACCCAGTTCTCCATAATTCATGTAACCAGCCCCCTACTGATGGAAATTTAGGTTGTCTCCTTATTGTTTGTAAGAAAAAAATGCCCCGAGAATATTCTTATATACCCGTGCATACCTGAATTCTAGGACAGATCCCTAGAAGTGGAATTTCCAGAATAGGGATATTGCCAAACGCTCTCCAAAACCTCGTATTAATTTACCCTCTCCCCAACGTATGGGTGCTCTTCCCATGCACCCGCACTAGCCTAAATTACTACGACTTAAATGATTCAAAGCCAGACTGAAAAGAGAGAGAGAGAGATCCCATATTGTGCCTTTCACTGCTTTATTTGAAGACAGCATAGAGAATGGGGCATCAGGATTGGAGGAAGACTATTAACAGCCTGCATTATGCAGATGACACAACTTTGCTTGCTGAAAAGTGAAGAGGACTTGAAGCACTTACTAGTGGAGATCAGAGACCACAGCCTTCAGTATGGATTACATCTCAACATAACGAAAAAAAATCCTCACAACTGGACCAATAAGCAACATCATGATAAACGGGGAAAAGAGTTGTCAAGGATTTCATTTTACTTGGATCCACAATCAATGCCCATGGAAGCAGCAGTCAGGAAATCAAACGACATAGTGCATTGGGCAAATCTGCTGCAAAAGACCTCTTTAAAGTGTTAAAAAGCAAAGATGTCACCTTGAAGACTAAGCTGTGCTTGACCCAAGCCATGGTGTTTTCAATTGCCTCATATGCATGCAAAAGCTGGATAATGAATAAGGAAGACCAAAGAAGAAATGACGCTTTTGAACTGTGGTGTTGGTGAAGACTAGTGAATATACCATGGACTGCCAAAAGAACGAACAGATCTGTCTTGGAAGAAGTACAGCCAGAACGCTCCTTAAAAGCAAAGATGGTGAGACTATGTCTCACATACTTTGGACATGTTATCAGAAGGGATCAGGCCCTGAAGAAGGACATCATGCTTGGTAAAGTACAGAGTCAATGAAAAAGAGGAAGACCCTCAACGAGATGGACTGACACAGTGGCTGCAACAATGGGCTCAAGCATAACAATGATTGTGAGGCTGGCATAAGACCACGCAGTGTTTCGTTCTGCTGTACATAGGGTCGCCAGCAGTCAGAGCCGGCTTGACAGCACCTAATAACAATAACAACATAGAGAAAAACGTACAAATCCTAAGTGAACAGCTTGATAAATTTTCACAAACTGAACACACCTGGGTAACTAGCGCCCAGATCAAGAAACAGAACATGACCGCTGCCCTGCTCCACCCTCGCTTCTCTCCACTAAGGGTAACAACTATTCTGATTTCTATCACTCTGGATTACATTTGCCTGTTTTTGAACTTCATACAAATGGAATTATATAGTATGTACTCTGACATCTGGCTTCTTTCCCTAACACTGTGAGATCATCCATGATGCTGAAAGTGGTTCATTTGTTCTTCTGGCTATTATTTCTCAGGGGCTCTCAACTTGAGGGAGCATCAGAATTGCCTGGTCTGACCACCCAAACCACAGACCACCTGGTCCCACCCCCTCACAGTTGGCGACTTAGTAGTTCTAAAATGTTAAGAGTCTGCATTTCTAACAAGCTTCCCGGTGATGCTGATGCTGTGGGTCCAGGGACTACATTTTCTGAACCACTGTTACCTGTTTTCACGTGGACTTTCCTGATCAGTGGTGAGAATGGTAGATTGTCTTTTCAAATGCTTACTAGCCACTTAGAGCTCTGCTCTTATTTATTGATGACCAAATCAAACCAAACCAAACCCATTGCCGTAGAGTCCTTTCCAACTCACAGTGACCCGAAACGACAGAGGAGAACTGCTCCAAAGGGTTTCCAAGGCTGTAAATCTTTATAGGAGCAGATTGCCACGTCTTTCTCCCACGCAGCAGCTGGTGGGTTCATCCGCTGACCTTTCTGTTAGCAGCTGAGTGCTTAACCATTGCGCTGCCAGGGCTCCTTCTATTTATTGATAGGCTTTAAAAAATCATCTTCATAGAGATTTGTATGAGGTGTTTACATAAGAGAGATAGTAGCCTGCTATATATGGGGCAATTCTTTTTACCATCCAGCTTTGTTTTTAACTTTGTGGAGCCTTTTGTCATATGGAAGTTGCAAATTTTTACACAGTTAATTGGTCACTCCTTAGGTTGTCTTGTGTTCCTGTCTGTTTAGAAAGGTTTTCCTCCTCAGGAAGGTTTTCATCGACACAAGGTTATAAAAATATTTCCAAAAATTTTCTTGTAGTTTTGTATGCTTAGATCTTTAATCCAACTGTGATTGAATTCTACATACAGTATGAGGGTTGATTTTATTTTTTTGTAGCAAATTGTCAGTTGATCTAATATCATATATTGGTGACTTTTTATATATCAGGTCGTTTTCTAGAATCCTTCTCCTATTCCATTCATCTATGTTCACTGCTGCGCCAGCATGTATTTCAGGATTCTTGGCAAAGGTGTCAGACTGAGCACATTAATCTAATTTTTCTCCCTCCCAAAACTCTTTCAAAATTACTACAAGGATGGGGTGACTATGATCCTGATCAAATTTCTGAAGGAAAATGATTTCCAGCCTAGAAATTACTCAGCAAAGTTACTGACAAAGAGCAAGAAAAGAATAAATTTTATTTCTGACATTCAATGTCTAAAAAATTTACTTTCTCCTATGCATTCTTCCTCAGGAATATACTGAAGGATATGACCCACCAAAATGAGGGTGTAAACTAAGAAAAAGGAAACATGGAATAGAGCAACAGAACTACATAGGAGAGATGTGAAAGTAAATCTAAGCCTCA